TGTTCAATATAAATTTACCAAATATATCAACAAAGAAAAAAAATAAAAAAAAAATGCAATAATTATTTTTTTTTTTTTTAGTATTTTGGAAATGCAAAGGACAAAAACATTACGCCAAATCATGTTTCATTTTGACCATTTGAAAGTCATGATCGACAGTGGATGCCAAAAATGAAAAAAGTTTTTGTCTCATCATTTTGGCAATTAGAATCGATAATGAACACAACACGAATATAAATGAAAGTCACAACTTTGAAAGTGAATATTACCTTTTTTTCCTATTTTCGTAAAAAGATTTCTCATCCTTTCAAATTTACAATATTTTTTATTTATTATTATTTTTTTTAAACAAAAAAAATAATAATAATAAAATAAAAATGTCAAAATCATTAATTTTTCAGGATAGAGAATTTAAAAATAAAGGTCTCCAAAATGAAGCGTTAACGCATAAATCGTACGCTTACGAACATCCAATGAGCGGAAATCATAATGAAAAGTTAGAATTCTTGGGAGATTCGGTCATATCCCTTGTAATGTCAAATTATTTGTATAAAAAATGTAAAGATGAAGGGGAACTAACTATGATGAGAGCAAAGTTGGTTTGCAAACAAACTTTGGCAGAGTTTGCGTTACGTTTAAATTTAGAATTAAGGTTGAAATTTGGAAAAGGTGCTTTAATTACCAACGCAAGAAATAATGAAAAGATATTAGAAGACGCTTTTGAAGCTTATATAGGTGCCGTATTTTTAGATTCAGACGAAAATTTTCTAGAAGTAATGAATTTTATGAAACCTTTGTTAGAACCAAAAGTTGAGCAACTTCTCTTGGAAAAAAAAAATGCACAACAAAATGATACTTCTAAACATATAATCGGCCCTCAGGATCTATCACTTATGACTTTACCCCTTGAAGATCCAATTAATAAACTTCAAACTTGGTCACAGAGAAGAAATTTTGGTTTACCTAAATATATTTTAGTTGAAAATAAAAAAGTTGAAAATAAACATAACCAACCTCAGTTTACTTTTGAAGTTATCATTAATGGAATTACTTACTCTCAAGGGACGGCAAGAAATAAATCGGAGGCTAAAAAATTAGCTGCCATCAACACCCTAAATTTAATTGATGATACTGTAAAATTGATTAAATGATTTAGGATATGAAGTCTTTTTTATATGTTGAGATAAGAAATTTTTTTTATCACTTTTGATAATTTTATACATTTTTTTTTTAATATTGAAAGGACAACAAGTTCAAATTGAAATAAGTAATAAAAGATATTTTGTAAAAAATTTTAATATATTTTGGACTGTTCTCATTTTCAATATTAATAATATATTTACTTCAAATTATAAAATAAAGTTTACGTTAATTCCAAACGAAGTATTTTGTATTAATTTTTAATTTGATACAATTATAGTTTTCCACTACGCGATGTTTTGTAATTTTCCTGAACGTTTTATTGGTTTTGTAATTTGTTCAAAATTTTAAATAAATTCTCTTTAGAATATATCACATTATGATATTGCACCTTTTATTTTAGTGAAAATGCATTTCATCGGATGATACGACTTACTTCCGAAACCAGGTCGAAACAGTCGAAATGATGATGTCAAAACACATACTGTAAGCTGTGCCATTTTATGTCGATCACTTAGGAACCCCTTTTATTTATCCCTCCATCATTTATTGGGTATTATCGAGGACTTTTTTACGGGTTCTTCAAAAAATCTAATATGGCGCAGAAAATGTCGATCAAAAATAAATTTTTGCTTAAATCGAGTCATGGCTTGAAAAATAATGTCGAATAAAATCGAAAATTATTATGAATATTATAATATAACAAATATTTTTTATTATATAGTTCTATAATAAAAATTACTGAATTTAATATTATAATTATTATATATTACAAATTAATTTTGGATGATAAGAATGAATTTAAAATAAAATATGCTACTTCTTCTCATGATATTGTAATATTTCATCTTTACTTATTTACTTTCAAATTTCTTTTTTTATCTGAATTTTTGCGGATCTTCTAAAGCTTTTCTTATGTAATATTCATTACTTGGACCTAGAAGAAATAATTCTTGATTCTTGTAATTTCATACTCATATTTGAATGCACTTTTATATCATATTACCTTAGTCTTTGCAAACATGTTTAACGCAAGCACATTCTGCTTTTTTGTATTCACATCCTCACTTTTTCTCCATGAATATAAATAGAAGTTTCTTTGATAAAAGTCTACTGGTTCCGTATGTTTCTTCCTTCACAGTCAAAGAAAGATACTGACAAAACTCCAGGAGAGTGATAACTGGGAAATAATCCGCAAAGTGGACAATATAATAAACTATAACCCTATAGGATTAGTTTGTTTATTTATTTCGAGATGGGGATCGGCTAGTTGCGTCAAATTTAAAAAACAGTGATGAATATCAAAAATTGATTAGTTATCAAACGATAGTTATTTTGTGACCGTCATAATTTTGACGACAAACCAATTTGAGCGTCTGTGTTCCGGTTCTATTTTTAATATTTGTTAAAAGTAGTTCCAAACTCAGGAGATTTATAAACTGTTAAATTTAGAATTGATTCACGAACTGACTCGAGTCGATTATTTTTGAGCTGATACATCCCTAACTATAATACAAAAAATCATATTTTAACATTCAAGTAGTATTAACAAATAAAACAAATGTAAAATATAAAAATATGTTAAATAAATAAAATAAATAAGATAAATTAATTATGTAAAATATGGCAGACATGTTTGATAATTTTGTCATGCATTGAAGTTGCTTCGCACTTCGCGGTATTGACACCGATATTCAAACTCCAGAGTTTCAAAATATTATCTAAATCTTTGCAGAGTTGATCTGTTAAGTAGACTGATAATTATGGACGAGTTCTTTGTTCTAATTTTGTGATTTTCAAGCAAGTTGTTGAAGTCTTAATTTATTCAAGGAAGAGCAAATCTCCACTGAAATTGGAAAATATAATATTAGGAATAATTTGACAATGAATTTATATTTTATACAATGAGTGGTTATACCAAAAAAATTTTAATTTTAAGTTTTAGCATTTTCCATATTTTGAAATTTTGAATACCAATAACTTCAAACCATTATTGTAATATCTTCACAACAAGTACTACAACGCATAAAAAGATTAGTATGAAGGATAATTATCACCAAAAAAAAAACACTAATTAATGTAGTTTTTTAATTCACGCATTTCTTTCATTTTATAAAATTTCAGGGAAAAAATTTATTTCGTTAATTTGTTATTTATTAAATGAATAAAAAAATAATAAGTATATTAAAGGATTGCATATTTAATAAATAATATGAAAAGGATAAAATAAAATATAAAAATAAAAATAAAAGATGCAAATTTACTTTTTTTCAATGATATGACCCAACCCAAGGAAGATACAATAAGCTAAAGCCATGAAAATATAATATGTATAGATTATTTTCTTGCCTTCTTCTATTAATAATATAAAATGTTTATGAAAAAATAAAATAGCACCGTAATGAATCACGTGATATCATACAGAAAATGGAAATTAAAGGAAATAAATTTTTTTTAGGTTATTTGAATATAGGAAAAAAATATCTAGTTTGTTGTGATTTTAATAGAATAAGAAATAAGAACAATAAGAACGATAAAGACTTTGAATTAGGAAAATCTAAATGGTGATATGTTGATGAAAAAAGAAGAAAATTTAGAAAATTTGGTGCGACAACTGCGATAACTACTTACGAACTGATACTGATAAACAAGAGAAATAACATAAAGAATATATTTAAAAATTAAATTATTCAACGAGAAATAAACTACAAAAGATTTGTTATTTTCTTTTTTCTTGATTATTATGAAATTTTCTTTGCCAATCTGACTTTTCAACTTCAGACATTCCTTTCCATATTCTTCTCACATCTTTTATATATTCATCGATTGGAACATTAGCAGGCCTTCTCTTCATCTTCTCCTTTCGAAAGGAGGTGAACATATTTGGCTCTCGTTTTCTATGTTGTTTTTTAGAATCATAGTAATCCTGGGATGTATAAAAGATAATTTGTAATTCGTTCATTATTGAATTTTGGATAATTGGAAATGAAAGTTATTAATGAGAACGAAGCAAATGACAATTTAACGATAAAAGGTTTAATTATTATTATAAAGATTTTGCTGGTTGGTTAGAATTATAGAGGGAGACTTGTCTCAGTTACCTTAGTATTTATACATTACAGATTTTTAAAATCCTAATAGTGTTCAAATTGTTCCAATTACAATACAATAGCATTTTTCAAAACTTAAACAAGGAGATTCATACATGAAACATATTTAGGGATTGTATAAAATTTTCTGTCTTCAATCGAATAAGAAACTCATGCAATTGATTGGTGATATTGTTTGATTCACAGTATATTTATTAACAAATATGTAAATTTATTTTTAATATATATTTATCCACTTAATAGTATTCAAGTTAAGAAATAAGTTATTTAATATTATTTGTTTGAAATTTTTATAGAAAATATTAATAAATTAAATAAAAATGAAAAAAAAGAATTGGAAACTACACTACCGACAAATAAATTTAAAAAAAAAAATATTGTACTACAAATATAGTGATGATACTGTTTCATTTGCATTTCCTGTTGGAATTTTTTAGTATGCTTTTGAAACATTAAAAATGTGCACGTTATCTGAAAGTAACAAATCAAAAATTTTCCGGCAGAATCGTGAACAAGCAAATAGGCCGGTAATGTTTACTTTCTTTATTAATGAAAAAATGAATTGCAATATAAACAAATACAAAAGGATGAAACGTTGTACATCATCTTGATTATACTTGATTTTTATTATAAATAAATAATAAATGAACTTCTTTTTTTCATTTATAAACGAATCCGGTCCGTAATTCCGAGTTATTTATTTTATACGGAGATGTATACAAAAATGCTTATATCAGTACTACCACTTTTGCAATCACGATTTTTTCGGAAAATTTCTTATTTGTTACTTTCAGATGACATGTCATTTTAATTAAAGTTTATATCGGGAAGGTTGTAAGGAAAATCAGGCTCTGAGAATCTTTTAAATTCTCAAAATCTGATTTTCCTATCGTTCACAATGAATTTTTTCAGAAAATATAAATTTTATATATATAGAGATATCATCCAACTATTTAATATATTAATTAATACTATTGAATGGATTAATATAAATTTTTATTTAAAAATCACATTACGTAACACAAGCTCCCTTTGTGTGATTTCTTTCTGTGTTACTTCAAACAATATTAAATTCTTTGAAATGTAAACCATACCATATCCGGTTAAGCTATTGCATTGGCGTCAGTGTTGACATTGTCATACTTCAAAAATGAAATATGTATAATATATTCTCAACAGTGAAGAAGTGTACTTTATTTAAACTTGTGACTATAATACAATCAAATAACTACTTTATTTCCTACGCATAATCCAAATCTAGAACTTTTAAAACCTTTTATTTTCAATACTGTTATGCGCAGCTCTTGATGTTTATGGGTTGCAAAGGTAAGCAGAAGGTTTATTTTTCGAATTAAATTTTATTAATAATAACGAAACTAATACAATACAACGTTAATGAAGTATTGCCTTAATCTTTTACGTTAGATACGTTTATTAATTAAGTTTTCGATGTTATTACAACAAATGCAAAGGGAAAGGGGAAATATACTAAATGCATTTTTATTATTTAGGGAGATGGAACATATTATTTCATTCATGCGAAATCCCACCATTTTTATATTCGAAAATTAATGAGAACTCATTGTCCACGAGCTATTTTGGCCTCAGAACATATTGGCCGGATGGCATATTGGCCATGAAATCCATGAAATATATTGGCAGGAGACAATTTTGACCGGGAACAAAATTGGCCAAATTGAACTACAAAGCCTAGCATGCTATTATTTTAGAACGAAATTTCTCGAAGATAAATAATAACAAATTTAATAATAATCGTAACAATACTCAGGATATATATATATATATATATATAGAGAGAGAGAGAGAGAGAGAGAGAGAAACATTCGCAAGAATTCATTCCCTTCTAAATCCAAAAGGATTGTTAAGAATAAAAATTAGAAATCGGAATGCAACTTCACTTAAAGCGTCAATTCAAAATTTCGTTTTCAAAAGATGGTGTACATGATAGCATTGAGAAAAGAGTTGGTAAGAAAATAATAAATCATAAAATATTTCATTTTATCTTTAATATTAATTCATTTATACGTTCAAATCTAAAATTTGTTTTCTCTAAACTTGCAATAAAAAACACCGCATTTTAATTAATTATGACTATTATGACTTATAAAATATGAAACTAATTAATTAATTATTTAAGTTTTGATATATATTTATATGTGTATACAATACATGATTCGGTTCCTTTTTTAAGCAATTTATTTAAAAACATTAGTAATTTAATAAAACATGAAAATATAATAAATTTTCAAATTTTTAATATAAATGACAATTAATTAAGATTTTGACTTTGACCTTCAAACAACCTTTCTTATTATCATTTGACCTATTTCAGTAGAATTTTTGAGTATTGTCATCATTTTTAAATAAGGGAATTTTTTTTTTTTAAAAAAAATTTATTTTATAAAAGTTTAACCGCGTGCCCTATAAAAAAGTCGATCCGTGTTTTGTTTCCATGGTTTTTTCCGTTGTTAAGCTTAATCTGTATTTGCTAACAAAAAGTTTAATTACGTCTAAACTATGAAAGAAATATACACGAGTTTAATTAATTGAAGAGTCAGATCGTCTTTATTGATATTTATTATTTGAAGATAATTAGTTAATTCTTAGTTTATTTACAAATCTCTATTTCAAGTTACATACTATTTATATAAAATAAACTAATAGTAATATAATAAGATAAATATGTCCGATATAATAAATAAGATAAATATAATAAATAATATTTAATTAATAAATATAACAAATATGACAAATCTGATAAATATAAATATGATAAATATGGTAGATCGGTCAAATATGACCAATTTGTCATATTTGCCAACCAAGTCAAATAATAATTTGTAGATCAATTTTGATGATCTTTTAATAATGTTAATTTTGCAGCTAAAAATCATTCTTGATTTATAATTTTAAATCAATGGAATTTTCATATCATTTATACAGATTCTGTAAAGGCTCATTTTCACAGAAATTTTACGTAAGCCACTGAGAAATAATGGAATTATTCAGGAGAAAATATTTATAGGAATGTTGGTTGGAATAAATAACTAAACCTATCAAGTATAATTTTCAGAAACGTCTGATGTATCCATTTCTTAGCATTTTGTTTGATTTAAAGAAATTAACTAGTTATTATTTATATTTTTGTAAAGCAACTTTGGTGGCAACTTTGGCGACAGCTCTGGTAGTGGCTAGAAACTTTGATGACAATTTAATAAATTACTGACAATTTTAATAAACAAAATTATTTTTATTAAAAAATAATGATCAGGTAACATCAATTCAATTCTTGTTTATTTATGAATAATAATTTAATTTTTTCTTAAACAATAACAAAAATCATTCTTTTGAAATAATAAAGTAATTTTTTTTAAAAAATAATTAAATCATTCTTTTAGAATAATGAAGTAATATTTATTAAAAACAATAAAAAATAGTTTTGAAAGAATGATAATTTAATCATTTTAAAAGAATAATGATAAAAATTATTTTTTCAGAATAATACTTCTTTTGAGATAATAATTAAATCATTTTTTGAGAATGATAATTTAGGATTTAATAATACTGATAAATCATAATTCAGCCTTTAGCTATAGCAGATCATAACAAATTAAGTCTAAAGAATTTACCAATTCAATATGAAAATAAATTTTATAAAATACTATAAATTATATATGGTAGATCTTAATTCATAAAATTTAGTAAACCTATGCTAAAAATAACCTGTGATCAGTTAAACTTAAAATAATATGAGATATTATTTATAATAAATCATATCATATTATTTGCAATAGAAAGCCTAATTGAATAATATTTAATAGTAAATACTATATAATTAAGGATAAAAATCAGCTTATCAATTTTATTTTAGTTCTTTTCATCAGCTCTGCTTTAACTCTTATTAGTAAATATAAGTTATATTGCTTCAAATATAAAATACAGATAGAATACATAATAAAAACAATTAGAAAAATTTGATTAGTTATTAAAAGATAGTTGTTTTATAATTGTTATAATTTTAATGATAAACTAAATTGAGCATTAGTTTCTAAATTCTATTTTAATATTTGTTAAAAGTAATTTTAAACTTTATAGATTCATAATCTATTAAATTTAAAATTAATTTCAGAATTGACCAAATTAACTTATTTTGAGCTGATATATTTATATATTATATGTAATCTATAAATATAATACTTAAAAGATAGATAGATAGATAATCATAGGTTGCAATTAGTTAATATTATATTGTATTCAACTATCATAATATTTAGGTTCTATCTATGAGTAGAGGCTGAGTACAAATTATAGATTATTATACAAAATAGGTATAATGTCATCTAGTTATATATTATCTATAAGATATAGTAAATTTCAAAGTATAAGCTATGAAAGATTGCATCATATCATGCTAAATTAAGTAATTGGATTTTAGTTATAGTTGGTATATAATCATTAATAAATATAGTGATAACTAAAACTATATCTGAAATAATCTCTTTATTCAGTAAAATGTTTAAATTTTAATAGCATTTAAATTACTACTTTATAGTTTTTGAAGGCTTAGGTTTGCAGAAACATAAAAAGGTTAAGTTAAATAAAACCTGTTAAAAGTTGTATTTGAAAATATTTTGAATCTTTTTTTAAAATTAAAATATGCAATTTATAGTTGAAAAAATGTAAAAAGACCTATAAAGTTAATAATACAGTATATCTATTAATAATTATTCTGAATATCTTCCAAAATTTGTGAAACAACTAAAAGAAAGATAAAGTTAATGTTGTAAGTATATTTTTAATAATTAAGTGATTTTTAATATAATAAATAATT